GCTTTCCTACTGATTCTCACTCACAGTGACATGCGGTCTTTTGTACATGGTGATCTTTGTCAACTCATTGCTTGATTTTATTACGTGGTTAAATTTGGGGGGTTTTTACCACAGAGGTTTGATTTTATTTCTGCTTGTAGCCAGGAGCCATTGCTTATTTGACACTGTCAGAACGTTCAGAATTACAGTTCTGAAAGTGTGGTCCTTGAATCAGCAGCATCAGCATCACCCATGAACTTCTTAGCAGTGAAAAATTTTGGATACCATTCCACAGTGAATAAGAAACTCTGCTGGTGAAGCCTAGCAATCTACAGTTAACAAGCCTTCTAGGTGATTCTAAGCCATGCTTAAATTTGAGAACTTCCATAAAGAATCTTAGCTGAGCATAGGCGTTCTGTCTCAACTTCTTCATCTTGTGTCTCTAACAAGGCCATGTAATTTACTATCCTTGTTACCGTTGGCATTTTAAATCAATGCAATTCTGCCCCTTCTAGTAATGTTTTATGAGATGGTGGTAATCTTGACGTTTTTTTCTCAACCAGCAATATCTCAAGTGTGTTCAAATCCAGGGTGTTATTTTGTAGTAAGAGAAGCCCTCAGAGCATCTAGTTAGCTATAATGCTGCAAGTGACACTCTGTTCATTGACGTTTTAATTTGACAAATGTATTTTTTATCTCTAAAGTGCTAAGTTCTTCATTTTAAACATATTAAGCACATTTATTTTATTACCTTTATCTGATAATATCAATAGCCGCAGTCACTGAGATCTAATTTGGTGATAGTTTTGCTTACCCTTGCTAATTGTGGCTTATTTCCTTATATGTTTAATTTCAAACTGAGGTTTCTTTTAACAGTTATCTATGGACATTTTCTGAGGCCTGTCTTTAACACATTCTCCCAGAAGTGATTTGCATTTGCCTCTGCCAAGAATCAGGGTGCGAGATTTCCAGTCCCAAACACTCCAAACTATGTGTTCAGCTGCATTTTTCAAGGCACATTGAGAGTGTGAAATCTGAGTGTGAGTGTAGGCTTGTGGTTAGTAATTCTCAGAGGTGAAGTCACCCTAGCACTCTCCAGAAACAATAGGTTACCCACAAGAATTTTAGAGACAAGAATAACTTCAAGGCTTTCTGTCTCTCTCACTCACTGGTGGGGAGGAAGACTTCTTGCTTGAGCATGTGTCCACATGCGCTGTCTTCTCACTGAATTTTTCAATACCACATGGGCAGCCTCTATATCTCCAAACCATAAAGTGTTGTGTGGGTTGGGATGGGGGTGTCACTGCTGTTGATGGTGATGATAGAGGTGATGTTAGTGGTGGTGGTGGTGTGGGTAGTGATTGTGGTAGTGGTGATGGTCGTATGGGAGGGGTTATGGAATGTCAACATTTCTGTGAAATGCTAGATAATAAATATTTCAGGCTTTGCAAACCAAATGGCCTCTGCACAACTACTGAATTCTGCCTTTCTAGTGCAGAATAGCCGTAGGCATATGTGAATGAATGGATGTGGGTGTGGTTCAATAAAACTTTATTTGTGGACACTGACGTTTGAGTTTCTTATGGTTTTCATGTGTCTTGGAATATATTTATTTACTTCAACCACTTAAAAATATGAAAATCAGTGGTGTCTGGGAGGCTCAGTCAGTTAAGCGTCTGCCTTCAGCTCAAGTCATGATCCTAGGGTCCTGAGATCAAGTCCCACATCAGGCTCCCTGCTTGGTGGGGAGCCTACTTCCCTTTTCTCTCTGCCCCTCCCCCTACTTGTGCACTCTCTCTCTCTCTCTCATGTGTAAATAAAGTCTTTGAAAAAATCTTTCTTAGCTTGTAGACTATACAAACTTGTGTGCTGGTTGTGTCCTGTGGGCTACAGTTGCCAATTCCTGGTGGTAGTATTAGTGTTGGGGATGATGATGATGGTGGTGGTGGTCATGATGGTGATGGCGGTGATGGATGGAGATGATGGTGGTGGTGATGATAGTGGTGGTAGTTGTGATGGTAGTGAAGGAGTTGATTGTGGTGGGGGTGAAGGTGGTGGTGCTGAAGGTAATGGTAGTGATTGTAGGATGATGATGTTACTACAGCTGATAAATGTGGTGGAACTGGTAGAGGTGGACATGGAGGCGCTATTGGTGAAGAAGCCACCTTCCTTTAACATCTTCCTTCAAACTGAGATGGAGACCCACAAAGCTAAAGCAAGTTGGCATAACTTTTATGGCAGCAGTGGCCTTAATACACAGGTTTTCTCATTTCCAAAATCACAGCATTTCCTCTGCACTTCTCTGATCATTAATGAATTGAGTTAGAATTCCTGCAGACTCTTTCCTGGAGGTACTGTGACAAAGCCTTGCTCACTAGCAGAAGTTTGGATTGGCCTTGTGCACAGGAAGTCACAGGTCACCAAAAGTGATAAGTTTGATGATGCAGCATTTTGCAATTGTAATGTGCCATTTAAATGTTAAATAACAATAACTGATCTGGTTCTGAATGCTTCATTAACTGTCTCCACTGCCAAATCACAGGCTTTTCTATGTGTTTCTGCCAAAGGCAAATTTTAACTGTTTTAATGAGGATTTGCAAGCAGCTCTTTTCTCTCAACACTTGGGCACTGGCAGAAACATACATCATTTGCTTAGCAGGAGGCAAGTATTTCTGTTTACACAAAAGGCATCTAACAGTGTTGGGGTTTAGGGAAGACCTAGCACCTGGTGCCCTAATGTTTTCCTTAATTGAGCCATCTGAGAAGGGATTAAAAGTGTTAGGAGCAATCCGTGCCTGTCACACATCCCAAGCGTCTTGGCTAAACTAATTGCTAATTAGTTAATTTTCCACATCAATTGCATAGTTTGCTCTGTTCTGTTTCTACTTGGAGATGCTGCTCTAAAGGTTGTTTTATGTGTTAAATGTAACTGTTACTACACAAAATCTTTGGCATGTAAGGTTGTTAATCAGCCACAGAGATACAGGTATTAGATACTATTTTGTAAAACTCCTTCTACTCCACACTAAACAAATCCTAAGCCCAACAGTGCAGATCTTTAAATCTTCCTGTTGGAAGGGTGTGTGGGAGCAGGGGGAGGTGAGACAGGAGACAGAATTATTAAAAATCTAGAACAGTTCACAGACTCAGAAAAAAGAAAAATATGAGAGAGTACTTCCATTTGTCTTTACTTCTGTGTTCATGCCTTTGTTTGGAAATCACTGTACTTATAACACTGGCTCCTGAAACTTACATTTGATTTTTTCTAGTTATTCCTCAGAGCATAGCATCTATTAAACATTAGAGACAAATTTGAGAAAAATGCATCCTGTAATGTATAATCCCAATTTCTCCATGGATAGGTCTGTGTGTAATTCTACCATATTCATAGTACATAATTCCTGGTGGAGTGTGCTAGGATTCTTTAAAAAGGGTATATGTTGTAGGGGCTAGAAGCAGATAGAACATAAATTTGCTCAGGCCCTGTTCTTAGTGAGGAAGTTGGAGGCTTTTGCTGTAGCATGGGCTGCCTATTCTGACTTGAAACTCAGATATACCAAAGCATCTCCTATGTTTGGGTGTCTAAGTGTTCTATTTCACAGGGAGGAGGCAGGCTTAGCCTGCAGTGTTTTCTCCATCAGCAGGTCACATGACCTGCCTGCCAGTGAGGCTTCTCTGGTCCAGCTAATGTTTGAGAGACGCCGCCTCTGCTTACCAAACCATCTATGGTGTCTGTCATTCGGTGTTCCGAGCCATATGTGAAATGCCTTCTCCTCACTCCAGAGGTACAGACTGAGGTGCAGACTGAGACTTTGTTTTGCTTTATTTTGTTTTTAAGACAATTTCATCCTTACGATATATTTGCCAGAAAAAGAATGTACTATTTTATCGACCATTCAACAAGAGAGATCAATTGTAGTTATACCAGTATAACATAGTAGCCCAGTGATAACAACCCATCCCCCGGTGAAAGCAGTAAACCAAATGCAGTATATCCCTAAAATGGATTATTATTCAGCTGTAAAAAGGAGTGAAGTCCTGATACATGCAACAACATCGAAAGCATCATGCAGAGTGGAAGAAGGCAGACACAAATACCACATATTCTATGATTCCATTTATATAAAATGTCCAGAATAATCAAATCCATAGAGACAGAAGGTAGACCAATGGTTGGCAGGGGCTGGGGAAGGGAGGAATGGGGAGTGGCAGCTTACTGGCTATGAAATGATGAAAATGTTCTGGAATTAGATAGCAGTGAGGGTTGCACAACTCTGTGAATATACTACAACCCTCAGAATTGTGTACTTCAAAAGTTAGGTGAATTTTATAGTGTGCAATATATCTGAATAATGCTGTTATTTTTTAAAAATGAATAAAACTACTAATAAAAAAGAGAGAGAGCAAGAGAATTGGCATCTTCCTGAAATACCTCATGCCTTTCAGATGTGAGACCTGATGGTGCAGGCCCACAGTCTGGCCTCTCAGGTAATGGGTCACTGTGACTCCAGCTGAGTGAGGAGACCATAAGCCTGGAGTCCGATATACCTGGGTTCAAATCCCACCTATTCCTCTCCCTCACTCCTCTCTGTTTGTACTTAAATCATTCATGGTGAGGGTTTAGGACCTTGTAGAATTTGAAAGACACCACGAGAGACATGACCCCTGAATCCCTGAGGCCACTGGGGGCATTCACCTTCTTGGCAAAGAGAGTTGGTAAATCAGTCTTAGCCTGTGTGTTTGAGGCCAGAAAACCTAATTGATTCCCAACTCGTGAGAGAATCCATCTTTTAGAGGGCAGGTTTACATTATCCTACCTGAGACTGCTCCCTGGACCCAGATTGCAAATTTATCAATTAGCAGTGAGGAATCAATCTCTTGGGGACTGAGGGCACGAAGCCTGTATCAATGATCCCACACACCCCCGTCCCTGTAATAGGCAGCTTATGAATTTGCAAAGAGAACTAACTGTCCCATAGGCCTGTTTTTAATTTTTGTTTTAAAACATGTTCATCCAAGCCAGCATGCTACCTTTGCTCTGGCTGGCCTAGGAGGGCTTCCATCTCCTTCGGTGGCTTCTATGTGGGTATGTAAAGGCAGATAGGTACCTCTTCTGCAAGTTCTGACAAGAGAAATGAGTTCAGTCATTCAATAATATCATAGTCTTGTGAGCTTGTAGACTTGCAAGATGGCTCACTTGGTTCTCTTTTCTCTATAGAAGTGGTGGTAGCACCTCTCAGGCTTGTTGGACAATAGTCTGATGCCTTGGGTTCATTCCCAAGAAGCAGGCCCCAAGACAAGAATTGAAGAGTACCAGTAGAGGAGAGGGGAAGTGAGATAGGGAGGGAGGGTGCCACCAAATGGTGCATTGCCCAGCAAGATAACTTCTGGGCAACTAGGAGGATAGGCTGCTGGGGCCTTGAGACAGCGTGCGGGACACCTGCCTCAGACTGTCCCACCAAGTGACAAAGATGCTGGACATTCATCCATCCACTTTCCCTCTGTCATTAGCTGAAGCTGCAGCTGGGGCCTTTACCCCTCTGACCTGGCCTGTGATAGCCAAAATGTTGCCATGAGTCCCAAAATGGTGGGAACCAGGGCATGGCAGGGGCATCCATGGACTTAGCTCATCTTGTATATGTGAACTCATCATCATCCCCCCCTACTTTCCCAAATCCATCCCTCACCCGTTGTTTCCTACTTTGGCAATAGCATCTCAGTCCACCAGGGGACTGGGCCAGGAGGGGTGCTTCATTCCCACATTCTCCACTCCTCTGCCTCATTTGTGCATATTTTTTTAAAGATTTTATTTATTTATTTGACAGAGAGATATCGAGAGCACAAACACAAGCAGAAGGGCGGAAGAGGGAGAAGCAAGCTTCCTGCCGAGCAGGGAGCCTGATGTGGGGCTCAATCCCAGGACCCTGGGATCGTGACCTGAGCCAAAGGCAGACACTTAATGGCTGAGCCACCCAGGCGCCCCTCATTTGTACATATTTAAGGAAGCACTCAGGCCTGTTGATCCTGCCTCCTACATGCTCCGGGACTGAACACATCTCTCCATTCATGGCCCTTCCTGAGGTCCAGCCACAAACACCTCAGCTGGGATTCCTGCTTCCGGCCTTCTCGGATACACCTGGAGGACTTCCCTGTCCATCCCGCCCCTCGCTGGCTGCCTGAGTTTGTCAGGACAGGTTCCATTGCTCCTGCCACCATCCCCACCCTCTTGTCTCTCCCAGCCCTCTGCTCCATCCTGTCCTGACAACCTCTGCACTGCCCCCTGTCCTGCCAGTTCCTTGCCTTGAGCCCTAAAGCATTTGACAGCCAGGAACACTCCCCACCCTGCCTTGACCCCCACCTCCTCCTCACCATTCAGATCTTATCTTCAATGACAGCTCCACGGGAGGCCCTTTCCCAATCCCCAGCCCAGGTAATTGCTCTCAGTTTCTTGTGTATTCTCTAAAGGCAGGCTTCTCCTTGTCTAGGTCACTAGGTACACTTTAGTGCTTATTCACAGACAGTTCTCCTGTGCCCATTAAATGCCTGTCAGGTGGATGCATGGAAGTGCCTGATATGTGCTCACCACATGCCAGGTGCTAGACACATGCCAACCTCCTTCCTAACCTGGTTTTGGGGGAGGGACTTCAAATTGCATTTTGAAAAGTTTCTGGTGATGTTGCATTAGGGGTTGAGGCCACCTCTGCTCAGGCCATAGTCTGCTCTGGAGAGCTGGCTTTCGTCCGCCCAGAGCCTGATTCTCCAACCCCAGACACCGAGAGATCATTGTCGCTTGGGGTGTGGAGTGTTTGCTGGTCCAGGTTAGAAAGCCTTCAGCATCCAGACTCATAGGAAAACAGTGCTCCTATTATACGTAGACATCATTATCTTTACTTAAAATAGGGAAGAAATGGGAATCATTACCTGTTTGGGGGAAGGATCAGAGTAGTTTGCTGGTTTACTGCTGGCTTAAGTGCAAAAACTTTGTAGATGAGAACAGAATGCTTGCTCTTTGTGCCAAAGGAAGTTGTAGGAAATCGCTTGATGAAAATCCGACCCTCATCACCGAATGTATGGAAATATGCTTTCCCCCTATACGATATAGAATTTCTGGCTGGAATAGGAATAGGAATTCCTTAGGAATAACTTCCTAAGTGAAAAGATTATTTATAAATCAAGAAAAACCATAGCATTCAATAACTCAGTCTAAGATAGGTGAGCTCTTAAAATACCCACCTGGCTAGGTTAGTGGCTATACAGGTATTTTTCTCTCAATTGATAAAGGTTTTGTTTTCATCAATGAAGTTCTTGTCACACATATTTGAGGGTCCAGTTGTAGCCTATATCGACAAAACCTTAGTTATTCGTCAAGTCCTCGTGGACCTGACAAGGACCCATCTTCAGAATTGCAAGGAATGGTGAAACTGCTGATCCCTAACCTGGAAGAGCTCACAGACCCATTGAGGCAAAACCCTGTCCAAGGTGAATCACAGAGAGAGCATTGCCAGTGATGTCACAGAGGCCTGACGTGGACACCGCTCCATGGGGTAGATGATGTGTAGCAAAGACTGCTTATGGGGTTAGCAGGAAGCCAGGGAGGAGAGAGCAGGGACAGGAGGGTGTGACAGATCCCGTGGGCTCAGTACATGCATGGGCCAGTTCAGAGCATAGATTTGTCTTCAGGAAAGTGAGGCATGAGGCATCAGGCCTTGGAGTCTAATCTGAAGCCTGGAGTCTGGATGGTAGGCCCACATGACCCTCTCAGGAGAGACATAATCACAAGTCCCAGTGTAATCCCGACCCTCACACCAACGGTGCTGGGGAAGGACTTGGTGAGCACCATTCATAATTTTTGTACAAAAATGAGTCAACGTAAATAAATTTGGGAGATTTTTCATAAACATCTTTACTTGCAGTATCTTGAAAAATGAGAAGTGGCAGCGTAGAGACACCTTTCAGCAGGGACAGAGGCAGCAGGTATCAGGAGCCAGCGACTGCCCCGAGACATGGGTGCACACCTGCCTGGCCTGGGGACCCTGGGGGCACTGCCTTGGAGACCCTTGGTCTGACTACCAGCTGAGGAGGGCTTTCTGGGTGGCCTGAACCTGAGGGGCATCTCTGAGGTACAATAACAGAATTGGTGACTGCAGGGGACAGTGGAGAGAAGTGAAAGGTTGCGAATGGCTTCTAAACTTGAATTGAAGGGATGAGCTATGTGGAGAGTGATTTTGATACTCGGTTTATTGGCCACAGAAGCACCAAGAATCAAACACCAAGTAAACAAACAAAACAACAAAATGGGTGGAGGGGCCCGAGAACTCTACCCTGAGCTGTGCTCCCAATTTTTGTGCCCCCCCCCCCTTGCTCATGATTCCCTATTTGGGCTGTTTTCTTTTCCTGGGGGCTCCTCTCTCTGGGATTTACAACTATTTTCCTATGAATTATTCAGAAATGGTTTGGGGTAAATCCTTGTCTCTTTGACGTGAGTAGGGGCCAACTTTGTTGCCTTCACCTCCTCCTGAGTGAACCCCACTCTGCCTCCAAACCAGTGAATGAGCTGCCATCAGTCCTTGCCTTGTGACCCTCAGAGACACCCCTGAGTGAGTGAGCCTGCCTGCTACCCCGTCTCTGGGGAGGGAGGGCCAGCCCAGGGTTCCCTGGCCCGGGGCTGTGCAGGGAGCACTGTGCCCCCACAGAGCTCTCCCAGGGCTTCTGGGAGATGGCCCCAGGCCACAGCCATCTCAGTGTTAGACACCCTGTCTGTCATTCGCAAACCTAGCTGAGCACCGTCTTCTGAAAAATGGAAAACCACCCGCAGCTGGGAGAATGGTCGTACCTGTGGTGAATGAGTGAGAGGGGCAACACACCTGTGCTCAGCAGACACCCCCACACGGGAACCCCTCAGTTAAATAGGAGGGACTCAGGAGGCGCCTGGGTGGCTCAGTCAGTGAAGCGTCTGCCCTCAGCTCAGGCCCTGTGGTCCTGGGCTCGAGCCCTGCATTGGGCTCCCGGCTCAGCGGGAAGCCTGCTTCTCCCTCTGCCTCTGTGCTCTCTCTCTCTCAAATAAGTAAATAAAATATTTTAAAAAATATTTTAAATTATTTTTAAATAATTAAATTTTAATTTAAATTTTAAATTTTAAAAATTTAAATTAAAAAATTATTATTATCATTATTATTACTCACAATGAGAAGTGAAAACTTTCTGGCAGAGTCTCCGGACCCCCAGGGCGGCCCCGTCACCTGCTGGGACAGCAGCACAGGACCCGGCTCTTGAGCATCCTCCAGCCACTGATGTCACTACTCACACCGCCTCCTTATGATCAGTTTGCCGAAGGGATGAACTGCACAAAACCCAGGAATCCTAATCCATGCTGTCTTGACTCATGCCACCCTAAAGTTCCCTGCAGGGCATTGGTCCCTCCCCATTGTCCTGAGGCCAGCTGAACATGCACAGAGTGCTCTGTCCCTCAGAGCCAGACCCCCAGTGTTAGCGGTGCTTTCTCCTGCACCCATTCCCCATGCTGTCCACAGACCCAGCTGCCTCTGTATTCCTTACATTCCACCCAAGGGCCTTTCTTCCACAATGCCCATCGCCCAAGTAGAGTTTGACACTCAAGTTCCTCCTAGTGAAGCCTCTCCCCCACCTTCAACTTCTCTCCTAGCTCCCTTCTGCCAGAATTGCCCCAACACTACCTGCATGTCCCTGCCACTTTCCTGGTCTCATGCTCTTCCCTCCACCTACAGCACCTTTCTTATACATCTTCACCTGTTGATTTTTTAAAAACTCTTTATTTAAACCCACATGACAGTAGAAAGAAGTGGACAATGGATGGACCCCATGTACCCATCAACCAACTTCATTGATTATCAGCCCATGGCAAATCTTGTTTTCTCCGTATGCTACCCACTCCTCCTCCTAAAACAGATGGTTTTTAAACAAATCCCAGACATTACAATATTTATTAAATCTGTAAATATTTCAATATGAATCTCTAAAAGCAGGTAGCTCTTTCTTTTTTAGGTAGCTCTTTTATAATCCTCACCATATACCTTCAAAAATTAACAATGCTTAAAAAAAAATTACAAGAACTTAGTGTCATCAACTAGCTAGCCAGTGCTCTCATTTCTCCAGTGTCTATTATAGCAATGGATGTGAGTATACGTGTAAATATAGAGACACTCATGTATAAATGTGTTTGTATAAGTATGTGGATGTGTTTGTGTGTATACACAGACATGTACATACATATGTACATACAAAAACATGTCAGTTCATTTGTTTGATTAGATCCAAATAAGATTAATATGTACAATTAGGAGGCACCTGGGTGGCTCAGTCAGTTAAGCGTCTGCCTTCGGCTCAGGTCATGATCCCAGGGTCCTGGGATCGAGTCCTGCCTTGGGCTCTCTGCTCAGCGGCGAGCTACCTCTCCCTCTCCCTCTGCCTGCCACTCTGACTACTTGTGCTCTCTCTCTCTCTGTCAAATAAATAAATAGAATCTTTAAAATATATATATATATTTTAAGTATACATATATATTTTATATATATATACTCACAATTAGTTGCTATGTCTTCTAAGTGTCTTTAATTCATAGAATCTTTATTGTGCTCTCTCTCTCTCTTCTTTAATTCATAGGTTTTCTGGTTGTTCTTCCTATAGAGTTGTCCCCATTCTGGATTTTACTGATTGCATACAACCATGACATCATTTGACATGTTCTCCTGTCCTCTGAATTTCCTAGTTAGATATAGAGATTTGATTAAAATAAGGCTGTGTTTTGTTTCATTTTGCTTTGTTTGGCAAGAAGACTTTTGTGGGTGTTGACGCAAAATGAACAAACATTTTTAAAAATTTTAAAGAGAGATTTAAGGAATTTTATTGAAACCCAAGTGAGGACAGCTGCCTGGGATACACAATCTTCACAAAGAAGAAAGTGCCCCAGGGAAGGAATATTTGGTGCAGGGCTATATATGTTTTTGTGTTTGTTTATATAAAGAGTTACAAATTATCATGACAGAGGACATTCCAGAAAATCATAGACTTTATCTTATGTTTTTAGTATGTGCAAGGACGTAGGACTCTAATCTTACGGTGACCAGGAAAGGTTTTTTTGTTTTTCTTATCTTTGTGTTTGGAATACTTCTTTTCGGTTATTTTTTTAATGAAGCAGATGTACAATGTGTGCTTAGGGCAGAAACAGCCCATGCTTTGAGGTTTTGCCAAGTCATTTTGACCTTGGTAAATGTTAAAGTATAGCTTCGCTGGGAGTCCAGGAACAGGGCCCGCAGGCATTAAAAGCTGAAAATTTCCTTCATCATGGGTGACAGCATGCATTGTCATCAGAAGGCATGTAATTGTCTTTATTTTTGTCCTGCTAGCAGCCATCAGCAACTACCAGCCCTTATATAACACCTGTCTGATTATTTCATTGTAGCTTATATTCATTTAGATTCCATAGGAAGATATCCTGTGAATGGCATTTTTCTAGTTCTTTGTGTTAGTTTACCTATACTTGGAGGTCAATGTGACTAGGTATAAAATCCGCGACTCACGTTTTAGTGAGTATCTTCAGTGCCTCACTCCACGGGCTTCTGTGATTAAGCTTTTTTTTTTAAATTTTATTCTGTTAGTCACCATACCATACATCATTAGTTTTGATGTGGTGACCCATGATCCATTGTTTTCATACAACACCCAGTGCTCCATGCAGTATGTGCCCTCCTTAATACCCATCACGGGGCTAACCCATCCCCCCTCCCCCCTCCCCTCTAAAACGCTGTTTGTTTCTCAGAGTCCATAGTCTCTCATTGTTCGTCTCTCCCTCCAATTCCCCCCCCTTTTTTTCCCTTCCTTCTCCTAATGTCCTCCATGCTATTCCTTCTGTTCCACAAATAAGTGAAACCATATGATAATTAACTTTCTCTGCTTAACTTATTTCACTTAGCATAATCCCATCCAGTCCCATCTATGTTGATGTAAAAGTTGGGTATTCATTCTTTCTGAAGGCTGAGTAATATTCCATTGTATCTATGGACCACATCTTCTTTATCCATTCATCTGTTGAAGGGCATCTCGGCTCTTTCCACAGTTTGGCTATTGCGGCCATTGCTGCTATGAACATTGGGGTGCATATGGCCCTTCTTTTCACTACATCTGTGTCTTTGGGGTAAATACCCAGTAGTGCAATTGCTGGGTCATAGGGTAGCCCTATTTTTAAATTTTTGACGAACCTCCACACTGTTTTCCAAAGTGGCTGTACCAACTTGCATTCCCACCAACAGTGTAAGAGGGCTCCCCTTTCTCCACAACCTCTCCAACATTTGTTGTTTCTTTCCCTGTCCATTTTTGCCATTATAACTGGTATAAGGTGGTATCTCAATGTGGTTTTGATTTGAATTTCCCTGATGGCTAATGATGATGAACATTT